TCACTTTGATAAAAAGACCTAAAATGAACAAATCCATAATAGTAGGCAGGGTCAAGATCTGCTGTGGGAAGTACCCGTTCTGAATATGCAGACTGTGCAGAGTTCAATGATTTAGAAACCCGTCGTATCCGAAAGTGGTAGTTGGAATCAGAAGAGCAGCTGCTATTTGAATCCGGAAAAGAAAGATAGCAAATATTCAACTTTTCTGAGCCAGAAAGATGAGCATCACCAGGATAGATGACCTGCAGGAACATTTCAGAATTTATACATAATGTTATACAATAAAAAAGAATGTAAAGAGAATTTACTGTTAGGAATGAAAAAAGTAACTGTCCATTTTACAGCTAGCAAATAAAAACACTTACTTCTAAAGCCTGCCCTAATTCTAAATCAAATGTTACGACGCAGATACAGTGGACCCAACCATTGAAACGCTCCCATGGAGCAACTTCTGTTGTATCAGCCATCACTATAATCAACCTGCTATCACTAAGCTGTTTAGCAAAATACAATGTAAATAAAGGTTACTTTCCGGAGCAAAACTACACCTAACCCACATCATACCCTGTCATTTCCAACAGTTTGAAGAAAAATACCAAAAAGCAAAAGAACCTTCAGTTCCATATATTCGCCGGAAGAAAGACGCTGACTCATGAAAACTGTAAAAATTCCTGCAAAAGTACAGGTTCTGAACGAAGTCACGAGAAGATATCAGCCAAATTAAGACCTGTAAACCGCTACTTTCTTTGATAAGATTAAACGACAAACAACAGACTAGTTCAACAAGTTCTTGATTCTTTGTCATTTTGAAGATAACCCGTTGTCTGAGACGCAAAACAGTTCAAACTGTAAAGGTATTCCTCGTCATGCTACAAGAATTAGTTCTAAAAACACTGCTGTGTAGGAGGAAATACGACTGCTTCCAGAAATTTTGTATGCACCCTCTCTTCAACAGCGGTGATGTTGAAGGAAATCAAATTTTCACTTAATAGACATCAAAAAGACTCAAAACTAAAAATGTAGAATAAAAAGCAAAGGCAGAAGCGAAACAAAACTTCAGATGATATAAATCATGAAGTAGTTACAGACTTGAAAGCCAAGCCTGTTGTCAGAAACAGAAAACATAGAATTCACTTGTGGAGGTACTTTTTTACTCATAATTATCATACGAGGAGACAATATACAAGACAGAATAAAGCAACGTCAAGGACAAATACGGCATCACTTCTTCTTGTTTATATGATAAGCTGCATCTCCAAGAAACTGAGTAACAACTTTATAAATGTTGTCCGTTCGACTTCGGGGTTTACACACATTGTGGTGAGACTAAAAAATAAAAGAAAAATATTAATCCAGACGTGTGCGAATAGGCCACAAAGTAGCTATTTTGATAAAAAGTCAATTCGCTAGACCAAATCTGGTACTGGGACTTTATGAAAAAAAGAACTAACTTCTTTGACATGGTAAACGGAACCATATTCAAAAAAGGCACTCTCCCAGGGAACAAGGATACCCTTCCTTCTCAAAGGCAGAAGAGCTTCCTCAGTTTCCAGAACAGAAGTTATGATGGGAACTTCGTGAGTGACCAGCAAAAACTCGTCATGCAGCTAAACAAAGAAAGTCAGTGAAACCCTCAGCACAGGATAAACCTTAACATTTTATTCTTTTACTAGTGCAGCTTTATTTCGTCTTTTCAGCTTTTATAAACGCTTCCTAAAGTTCAATTGTTATATATATTAAAAGTGATTGAGAGCTTCTCGAAAAAACAAAGAAAACAATGGGTACACTACCTTTTTGTTAACTGCATTCTTGTACCGCAGTAATCTGACGTCCTCTGCCGGACGAAGAGTTATATAGGCGTACTTTGCAAGCGGACTTCCCTGATGTGGAGTAGCAAAAAATAAAATGCCTAGAGTTTGTTTCAAAAGGCTTTTATCATCCAAAAGAAGAGTTTTTGCGAGCAGACCACCTGAATAAAGTAAAAAAGCTTGAAGTATTTGATAAAACCAGTTACTAAAAATTTTAAACTTTCAATTGAAAAAAATACAGTAGCAGAAACATTAAATATAAAGAAAAGTTCCAGAACTTTGAAAAGCTGTAATTTCAGTTCTTTTTACCGCTAAATGTCTGGATAGCACAACTACAGAATTTAAAACAAACCCATGCTGTGGCAAATAAACACAACAGGACGAATGCCAACTTGCGCCTCTTTCAGCTGGATAAGGAAGCTCTGAGACCTCGAAGAAAGAGTCTCAGATTTACTCGTAAACTGAACGAGTGAAGATGAATAATCAATAGCCAAGATACGAGCTGGAACCGACAGATCTTTGGGAAGCCAGTCCTAAAAACTTACTATCTAATAGAAAACTTTATCTGCTGCAAACAATAAACTCTGTAAAATTAGTATTCACCTTTGGCCAGCATCGAGTACGATGCAACTTCGACAAATCATCTTTTTCTCTCCAAGTGCGAAAGACACTCCCTTTAAGGCCGTGAATAAATATTATATCCATTACTGGTTCTTCATCTGAGCAATAAAGTTGATAAATGTTTCTTCTCAGACGAGGACCACCGCCCGGTATAAAAGTGCTAAGAGCATTAACACATATCTGAAAGATTTAACTTACGACATAAATACAAAAAATTACTCCTGGATTTAAAACATAAAGACAGCAACGCTGTAAAGTCACGACAATTAACCAACACAGACAAAATATGACTATCTTCACAGACAAATAAAAAAGTAATTACGTAGTATAGGTTGAAATTAATTCTTACTTTTTCTGAAAGTAGCTTTTCTTCAAGCGTACCAGACGACATAAGAGACGACAAAAGATGAAGCCACTCTACAAAAAAATATTTTTTCCACAATTGGATTTGTTAAAAACTGCGACTCACTGTCAAAATTTAAACTATGAATACTACAAAAAAACGGCTTACCAGACCTAGCAATTGCAGCAGCACATTTCTGACTCTGTAATGCAATGTTACACAAAGCTTTCAAAACAGCATTAGAAATACGAGGATTCGATACCGAAAAATGCAAGTGTAAGTCAAATAGAACCGATAAAACATCTTGTTCGAGCAACACTTCACCATAACCTTCCTAAATGACAGAAAGTAAAAAACTTTAAAATGATATAAGCAATAACTGCAGGACTGGAAGAAGAAAAATATGCAAAAAGCATGGCAAAACTTGATTTTGCGAAACATACATAACATTGAACCAAACCTGATTCACAAAGTGAGAGCTGCTATAAATTCTTCTAATATAGCCGTCTAAAAAACTAATCCATAGAAACTTCGCTACCTACTTCTAATTTATGCACCAAGACATCCAGTAATCTTGCAACTCGGACTTCTGGAGTCACCAAATATTCACCCTCACAAGAAAGGTTTTCTTCCTCGCAAAGTGGTGAAACGATATATTTCAGAGCAGTAATCCAGGTTTTGTCAATTACAAGCTAAAATATAAGAGTCAGAGAAGAAAAGAGCCGTGAATTTTTGCCGATTCCACTATGCTAAAAAGCCAGGTTTACAGAGCGCGAAACTACCTATTCAAATACTACAATTAGAAAGGACAGTCACATATAAAATCTTGGTACCGGAAATATAGAAAAATCAAATTTAATTCGTCGAATAATAAAATTAAAAGTTTCAGGTTTCCTATTGAAGAAATAGGAACATTTATGCAGCTAAAATAAAAAAAAAAAAACAAACGAACGCGTCGGATCTTGCTTTCTAGTTCCTCAATTGTCCGCCCAGTTCTTAATGAAGTAGCAGGTAAGTAAAGACATAAATGACTGGCCCTCATCATTAACTTAAAAAGTGATTCTAGGTTTAACGCCGCATTCGTGTACTGTGCAAGTCGTTTTCTTAAGTCTTAAAATTTAACAGTATTCTAAGTATAAGATAGAATTTTTCTTAAAATACACAAAAAATAACGCCTCGAAGAAACTTTCTCCAATCAACTAACCAGTCACGCAGTGTTTTCGAAAAAAACACGAGTCTAAATGATCCTGCAAAACAAAAAATTCTGCAGCAAAATTCGGGATCTCTAACGGTTTCTTACGTCGCCTCCAGAAAACCAGTGAGCTAAAAATCTCCATTTGAAAATTAAGCAAAAGAAGAAAAAATAAACTGCTGACTCAACGTCACTAATATCATTACCTTCTTCCTTCAAAAAAAAAAAAAAAAA